TGATGAGGCTTGGTCATTGGTTTGGATGGCAGCATTGCTTGCATTGAGATTGGTCACCACCGTTGGAATTTAAAATCTCCACCAATGGCTCAGGTTCAGCGTGAGAGCAATCGGCTCGCAATTGGCAGGTTGCGAGTTAAATTATTGGTTGGCAGTTGACTCAACCCATCATCCGTTCAGGGATAAAATAAGTACCACTTTGTAGGGAAGTCAAGAGCTGTTGCCCAATGGAAACACTCGTCCCCGTCATAGTAACGTGGAATTTCTACCACCGGCTCAAGGTTGTAAACAGAGGAGCACCACCGCAATGCTCATTCGAGCACGAAATTACTTTGTTGGTTTAGGACCTCATGAAGATAAGCAACAATTAACGTGTTAAACAGTTAAAGCATCAGTGAACAGTATGGAACATGTACATTGCTTAATACAGCACCGTATTTATACATTGATATATACTGTATATATTATCCAATTTTATCGCCTTTTGTCATACCACTGCTGGATGAAGGCCTCCCCATGCCACAATATTCGGGTTGGTAACTGCACGCTGCTCAGCGTGGGTTGGTGAAGGAGGTGCCTAGGAGCAGTTCACATATTACTTGCCACTGATGTTAGCCGTGGCCAGAAGTCAAACTCGCGTTTTAGATTCACCGTGCAGGGCACTAAGTACTGTCACTGCTCTCCCCCAAAAGAAGTATACAATGTTTGTCATTAGAAATTAATTTCTTACTACAGTATATTTCATGATTACTTCCAACAGACTTGGCATGTCTCATTAAAATGTGACATTTTTGCAAATATCAAAGTATTAAAAATATATAAAAAGCAAGAATAGCCTATTATGTTGTCATGTCTCCTGTTATTGTAATGTGGTTACATTTTTACAAAAAGGTACCCGATTGAAATGGATGCACAGTAAATGATTCAACAGATGAGTGTAAACATCTAGATAAACATTAACAAGGGTTGATCGTAACGTGCCCATTCTAGAAATTGTGGTTGAGTCCAGACACCTCCCGCGGGCAATAAACATCGACCAGATAATAAAATGGCATTCCTGAGGTCGGGTCCCAGGGGATCACAGAGTCCAAAGAGCAACGGGGAGTGTGAACAGTTACTTTTGTGTACAAAAAAATGGTGGCCCACTCTCATGCACATCCACACGTGTGCATTATTTAAGAGTGTAAAGATACAGTCCTGCTAATTCGTTGCTAATGCCACTATTGGAGAAAGGGCCTGCACCAGAGGGAGCTCTAGAGAACCCCTCTAGAGAGTATTTGACCTACCGGACTGGCCAGATGTATGTTGAACTTCTTTCTCACCGTACGCAGCCAACCGTGCTAATTGGAAGAGGTTGGGAGTGCCCACGTCTCTCCCCACTATGAGCGGACCTGCGGATCGACTCACTGTTTTGTACCCATTTATATTGCTGGGTGGACATAGGTGGGGGGTGGGGGGGAGGTATTTAAGTCGCTTGCCCCATGTCATTTCCAGTGCAATAACCACACCACACTACGGCAACATGGCATATACAGGGTGCATCTATTTGCTGCCGCCAGATAGTACTGCGGTTAAAGTACTCAACTCGCGATTTGAAAGGTTGCAAGTTCAAATCTGTTGTCGGTTGAATTAGTTCTTTTGAACATTACAATGTAAGGAAATCAACATTGCTGTGAATGTGCCCATTGTCATCGTGTCTTGGAAGCCAAGTTGAGTTGAGCCTGGCTAGTGCTTGGAAAGGAGACTTTGAGGGAATCCTAGGCCTTGTAAAATCGGGCTGCAAGGTAGCCCGGAGATGATAGTTCAACAATGGATTGAACTCATCTGTGCGGAGTTTTTGAGTGTTACCCCCGGAGTAAGATTTCTCGCTGGTTTCCTCCCACATGCTGAATACCCATTAATGGAGTGAGCCAAACACCCCAAAGCAGAACTTTCCTAAAAAAAATCAAGCCTTGAAACTCAGTGATGATAATCTTCTGCGTGAAGGACATTAATGTTGTCATGCTATGCAGACACTGGCCCACTCCACGCAAATGTGAAGTTGACACCACGTGCTCAAGGATGCAACTCAGATGATTACCTAACACTCGAGTAAAACAAACAGGGAGAGACTTGCACTTAACGATTGCCTCTTGATTGCCTGTCCAGTTTTGTTCCTCCAACTTCCATTCTATTCTTTTTTTATGACAGTTATTGTTCGTAACTTTAGTTTTTTCATTTACGTATAATTTTCCCCAATGTTGCGGCGTTTTATATTGAATGACTATGTCCACAGAAAATATCAGATACAGTAGTTAATACATTTTGTATTGCTTATCACCTCCAATTAGCACGGTTGGCGACGTACGGTGCAAAGGAAGTTCAAGTTTGCAGAAGTGGTTCCTTCCTTTTACATTATTATGGTATTTTGTAATATATCTTTTTGTGAAGGATTTTGTTCGTGAGAGCTTGGAGCCAGTTTACAGTCGGAACTGATTGAAATGTCTGTTATGTATACAGAAAATATGTGGGTATACCGAGGGCAGTTGTTGAAGGTGGATCAAGGTCAAAGTGATTATGTAAAAAGGTGAACTAGAGCAGGAAGGGGTGACTCTGGGAAATCTGGAATTGATCGTGATAAGCAACATACTATTGTGGTCTAAGAAGATTGCTTTTATTCCGTGTAGATATCCCACGAAGACATGGATGAGAAACGTGAACATTGACAAATGAAATGGCCTTCATACAGCAAACCCCTAAACATCACAAATATTAACATTTTAAATTAGTGTTTCTTCATATATTGCATTGTTTTGCTGTGTAAAATAAAAAAAAATACAATTTAAACCAATTAATTTGCTTCTAAAACATGGGGAAACGTTCAGTGGCCCCAAATAATAATGATCATCTACAGACTTGGTCAAATCACTGCTGGATGAAGGTCTTCAAGCGACGTGTGAGTCATTCGAGTTGTCTGAAATACTTCACCACGTGAGTCAGTGTGGGTTGGTGAAGGGAGGGGGCAGGACCGGTTGGGATGTCACTCGCTGCTGTTGTCAGCCATGATCGAGAATCGAACTCAGGTGGCCAGGATTCACAATTCAGTGTGCGGGACCGCTGCTTCAGCGCCCCAACGCAGACCTTCAAATGTTCGGGTGAATATCTTAATAGTGTCAAAAGTAAATTTTGATTTAAAGCTTTCGTGACTGCAGGGATTCATATTCTTTGTTCTTTCGGTAAAGTCACGTAGAAGCGAAACAATAAAATAATGAAAAAATAAAAATATAAAAAATAAACTTCTCACGACGTTTCGACTGCAACACAAGCAATCATCATCAGGTTTTCACATAATCAGTTTTTCACACCTGATGATGATTGCTTGTGTTGCAGTCGAAATGTCGTGAGAATTGTATTGTTTTATATTTTTATTTTCTTTGGTTCTTTCGGTAAAGTCACGTAGAATGAGAATAAAATAATAAATTGATAAAATAAAATAACACAATAATATTCTCACGACGTTTCGGCCACAACACAAGCGGCCTTCATCAGGTGAAGGGACGAGACTGTCTGGTAGGACAGCGCTGGAGTGAAAAAGCCACGCTCAGATCGCGACCTTTAAGCTGTGTGAGAAGAAACAAAGCGCCTTGACAAAGGAATTAGCATAGAATTTAGCGTCGTGAGAATATTATTGAGTTATTTTATTTTATCAATTTATTATTTTATTCTCATTCTACGTGACTTTACCGAAATAACCAAAGAAGATGAATCCTTGCAGTCACGAAAGCTTAAAATCGCAATATTTTTTATTATTTAATTGTTTCCCTTCTACGTGACTTTACCGAAAGAACCAAGAATAGTGTCAAAAGTATAACTAAAATTGTTTAATGGTGTGCCTATTCAGTCTTTATCCAAGAATCCAGTCGATGAGCGGAGTTGTTCCACCCCCTCCTCCCCCCCAACATGAAGCGAAATGTGAAGGGAGTGTTGCGTGTGGGCGCTGTGGCTCAAGGCAAACAAACGCCCCGGGCAACAGGAGGGGCACAGCGTCCAAAGTCCGGGCCCTTACAATGGCCCAGCGGGGCAGGCCACCCTGCGCGGACCGGGGGGGGGGGGCACGCAAATCCCTGAGTCTCCTCTCACTCCACTGCTTTTTAGACACTTTCGCTGCACTTCACTGCGAGGATTTGTTTTTCTTCCGCTTTCCCTCGCTACCAAACGCGCACAGCAAAATTGATCGTCAATTGCGGCACTTGGTCGATTGCAGGCGAATTGTAGGCAGGTTCGGTGTTTAAATGTGACTGTTCTACTGGCGAGTTGGTAACACGCCTCTGCGTTTGCAGTGGAGCGCAAGCACAGGGTAACCCCCCCCCCTACACCGACAAAAACCTCAGCACATGCATCAATACACAAAGCCGAGAAAGAGTAGATAAAAGAGAGACGTTTTGGGCCATGGCCCTTTACGTCACATCGAGAGACTCTGCCTCTCTGGGTTCTCTCTGTGTGCTGTGAAGAAGGGCCATTACCCGAAACGTCGACTATTATTTATTGATTACGGCCACAGTATTATTGACGATTTTGTTGAGTTTTTTTTTTTAATACGGACACTTTTCCTTCTTCGGGGCTGTGGTATATAGCAGCCACATTCTGTCAGTGGCATCGCTTCCTAGCGTTGCCGATTGTGTACCCGCTTGCCAGGGTCATGGTGACAGTAATCGTCATTAATTATGTCCACGTGTCAGATTTTCCTCCTCAATTCTACAATGCTCACGAGTCGCATTAGACATGACGAGCAAATGAGGCCACACTGCCACGGGGCAATATTTGGAACGTGAGCCCCGATTATACACGTGCTCAATTCTGCAGGCGCGTAACGCTCCGCACACATGCCTAACGTTAACTTAAACCAAGTTTGGTCTCTGGCACATCAATAATTAACGCGTTCATATACTTTTACGGAACGTCAATTATACATGGCGTGCGTGTGGGGGGAGGGGGGGTCGCAACGACGAGTAGTCATGCCGACCGGCTGACCCCCCCCCCCCAAAAAAAAGGGGGGCCCACTTCCCACGTTTCTTAACGCCGGTGCCACGTGTGGCGGGGTTTGCAATGTGCAGAGAGCGAGGGAGAGGCGGGTGAGGGCTTAGGAAGTGACGTGAGGTGGTTAGAGACAGGTCTGTGTGTGTGTGTGCGTCTGTGTGTGGCTCAGAGAGAGAGAGGAGGAGGTTGAGACCATCGCAGAAGCCAGGTGTCACCTGGACTTGCATTTAGGTGGATTTTGTTTTGATTCGGCGTTTTTTTGCTATGTCTCATCAAACGGGTATTCAAGGTAAGTGCCGTGTGTGCGCTCATGAGTGTGTGTGTGTGGTGCTCGCTGATAGGCACTTGCCCCAACAGTCTGTTAAGGCTATATGGGGAATCTTTGTCTTTGTGTGTGCTCAAAGTGGTTTATTCATTTCAGGAAAAGAAAATAAATCTTGAGAGAATAGGCAATGTCTGGGCTGAACACTGTCAATGCAATCAATAGGAATTATTATATGTTTGTGTTGTGTGCGATAGCTTAACGATTTCAGAAATATCCTGAGATAGTTTCGATAATAATGTTCAAACACAGTGAACGAATAAAGAGGACGTCGTGTGGTTATTGTCTGACCGTGTAAGTGAGCACACAGACCGGTGAACGAGTGTCGCTCGCTTGACCACCACGTTTCCTTTTCTCACGCGAGGGGTTTATTATTTCGCCCTCCCAGAACGACTCTTATTTTACTGCAGCCAGATTCTGTTAAGTTACTTTGGCTTTTCTACTCTGTGTGTGTCTCTGCTCAAAGTCGTCACTTTGTAATGAGTTCCCAACTTGCCGGTCAAACGTGCTGGAGCACAACGTGAGAATAAAGACAAAGGGACATTTTAGATTTGTAAAATACTTACCGCTTGGTCATTACCATCATCATCATTAGCAGCAGCATCCATGGTTCATCCACTGCTGGATGAAAGCCTAAGCACGCCCTCGCCATCCGCCGCAATGTAACAATCCACGCAGCAGCTGCACACGAGCGGATTTCATTGCTCCATCTCCCTGGCAGACGTCTTGTCAGACACGTTCCAATCCTTGGGATACCACTCTTTCACTATTCACGGCTAGCCAAAGATTGACATACAGATTACTGCTCAAGCTAAATTTGGTGTCTGAAATATTTTTTGGAATAATCTCAAAGTTAAAATGTCAGATTGGTTGCTTACTCAGACGAGCATGCATAATGCTCATTTGCGTTAACGTCCCTAAGACTGGTGGAAATTCCACGTGCCTATGGCAGGGAGAAATGGCCACGATACATGCATTGAGAAATCCTGAGCTACATTTGTACTTTATTGCAAAATTACTCGTGTTCAAATTAGACGGAAGAACAAGCATTTAACACGTTGCTGTATTCATAACAGAAATGTTGGCTATTGTTAATATTATTTTCCTTAGTTATGGTATTGTTAGTTTAGCGGTAATTTTAAGTAAAACTACTAAATTACTTTTCAAGATCCTTCTAGACATGTTGCGACTTTCCTTGACACGGAACAATACTTTCGTATTTTATTCGATATTCTTAAAGAACATTTTCGTAATTATTTGTGAAAAGTCCAAGGAGTAATAATTAGATGTGATAACTTAAATTGAAATGTAAGTGTGTGTATCCTTGGCTATTACTTTGTTGTGCGCGTTGTAAATACAATGCATGTTTTTTTATTGGTGATTTTAATTTTCTCGCCTTATGCTTGTAGCTAAAAATACACTGCAGTCGGCTTATTGTGTGTAGCTGTGTATTGTTTAAACAGTACAGTTGCTGTGGCCACTGTTTACAATAAAGTGTAGATCTCAATACACGTATGTTTATACAGTCGAAGGTGTGGCATGTAATATTATCTCTTAACAAAAGAAGCTTCCATCATTAAGCCGCCTATACTATCTACTTATCCTCTTTCAAAGAAGGAAACGCATATCTAATTTCGTGCTGCGATACACTGTTAGTCAACAGGTGATGTGTATTATGTTCAAAGGTGAAAAGTCAGTGTGAATCAGCTGAAGCAAACAACACTATTAAAAACTCAAAAAAATATTTGACCAGATCAGACCCACTGAGCTCTATAGTTCTTTTTCAGAAGCGACTTGGCCACAATTAATAGCCAAATAAAGCGGCTTATCATGTGGAAATTTATTGCAGCCAAATACGTAACTCTAAACGCGTATTTCTTGCTCAGTCCTATGCATGGATGACCTCTGTTGACTTGTCATTTGAACACGGTTTTGTCATTTCCCCACAATGTTATCCCGATGGTGATATCAGTGTCATGCCATGAAACTGAGTATCCATGTGGATCTCTCGCAAAGCGGTGAGACCATTTGTGTTAGAGAATGGACTCACCGAAGCCGATATCACAGAACTACCGCTGAGAATCCTTCAAGTGACTTTTATTCCATACATAAAGGGCCCAGGACTTGCAAATCATCTCTGGCGTATGCGAGTGATGTTCATCGCATGACAGTCACACTGATTTAGCTAAATAATGCACGGGACCAAAGTTAACGTCATTAGTTTTTGCCTAGTCATTGGTGACCGGCTGAGACCAACTTACTGCATTCAAGAACCTGGTTTAATCACAGGCGGCTGCCTGGATTCGAACCCAGGCGCTTAGCAGTCGGCGCTCAACGCTCTAAGTACCTGAGCCACTCGGCCACCTCAAAGCGGTGATAATTGTATTCAACCAGGGATGGATGATGTGCTGAAGTTGACTCCCCCAATTGCGATTTGAATTCGTAGCCTTCTGAATGAGAGTCAAGGATTATAACCTCGGTGCCACCTGGCCGGACAGACTGGCACTCTTCATACGACTGTGGAATTTCCATCAGAGCCACTAACTCATGCGACTCTTTTGAAAATTACACTTGTAACTGACCTCGGCGTGTTGTTGTTATATAGCACGCTTGCTGTGTGTGGGAGAGCGATCTTTGAGGCAGCACGCACACTCGAATTGATGGTGCGAAGGTCGAACTGAAGACCTCGCGAGCTGTAAAGAGGCCGGGAACGCACCATAGATGAAAGCTTGTGAACAGGTCCGCACTTAAAAGAGAGATGAACGCTATTTGAAAGTTGTCGAGGACCGACGAGGTTCGTGCGACGTTTAGTAACGGTTGATTATTGTGAATTGACTATCGTTTTTAAGTTTACGGCTTGATCCTCATTTAGGCAGTGTCCTCCCTATTTTGGCAAAAATAAATCCGCGGTGCTCCGTGAGAACAGCGACAACAAAAATAAAAAAACCTCAACAATGCAGAGAACAGGTACGGGGTCTTGAAGGAATATTGAGAAACTAATAAACACGGGTATTTGACGGCCGTAAATACAAAAAAACGTGCATTGAAATTACACAAAGATTGAAGTGATGCAGTACAGTCCCAAGGGATGCTGCTGTGGTGTAATAATTTAAGTTAGCGCGCTGGACTTTAGCGCGGTGAGATTTAGGAGTCGTCGGTTCAATTCGATCTCCCCGTGCGAGACGTTTAAAAACAAAATTCCAAGTTTCTAAATATCGCACCGTCTTTACCAGCCAAAGATGTAGACGCCACAACCACAGCTAGCCGATCGGCACAAAATAAAATTGTGCAGAGCACCGGTGAAGACGAGGGTGGAATGTGACCAGAATATTTTAGATTCTAACGCAGGCACTCTGCATCGGGTGCTCACTTTGGGCTGAGTAAACCTAGGGAAGAGTGTTGGCAGTGGTAACGCAGTGCGCTATGAACCTCTGAGTCCTGAATTTGATTCTGAGCCACAGCTGACATCAGTGGCGAGGGGCACCTAAACCTCTCCCCCACACCCCCTTTCACCAACTTGCACTGAGCAGCGTGGAGTCAACAATCGGTGAGGTATGGTGAAGTATGGTCAATCAAGCCCCGTGACCAACACATTGTTGGGAGTCCTTCCTAAGGGAGGACTGGGTGAAGATTACGCACCAAGTGGCGCTGGTATCATCGCAACCGCTTGAAACACACAAAGATCCCCATATAGACTTACAGACTGTTGGGGCAAGTGCAGTTAGCGAGCACCTATGAAGACTGGTACGGCGCTCGAGGAGATGGTGTGCCCAGAACGACTCCAAGCTGCCTTTGTATTCCCAGTGGTGACGTTTACACGTCGTACCAGATACTCAATGACGGCCTAGTTGACCTAGGGGAGGCCCAGAACGGGTTTATATATTATTATTATTAGCCACTGGCGTTAGCCATTGCCAGGAGTCCATCTCAGGTCGCCGGTTTTGTAGTGCAGCACGCGAACAGCTGGGCGACCGCTCCCCACTTTAAACACACAGAACGCGTATGGAGGCATATACATTCAACGTGCTGTGTATTTTATCCAACATTAACAGACCCTAAAAATATCAATCCACGGACAACGTCAAACACCCGGCTTGGCACGGTGCCGCGCCCATGTGTTTTGAAAGGGTTTATTTTCACGGATCCCAGCTCCTGTCTGGCTGGCATCTCCTATCACAGACCTCTCTCCTGCTGAGGACTCTCACATTCGCCAAATGCCATACGCCAGAGCGCCGTAAACACAGGGCAAAGGTTTAAACCGGTGCATTTTACTGGACAAGAAGATTATTATGACCGTTCGCCACGAAGCCCTGTGCAACTTACGGTCTGTGTGCACTGGCCAGCCGCTTTTGTCGATCCACTGCTGCAGAACGAGGGCCTCAATTGTGCCGTGCAGGTGTTGGCCATTATTGACCATACTTCACCACGCAGGTCAGTGCACGTTGATGAAGGTGGGGATATAAAAAAAAACATCTTAAGGCTCAGTGTGGCTTCTTCCTCGGATGTACTGTATAAAGACGTTATTATTCATCAGCAATTACTGTGGGTCATTTCCAACTTTTTTATTTGGGCTGTGATACTGACACCCACCAATTCTCCTCTTGAGAATGATGTCACAGAATCTTCGATGCCCACTTTTGCAACAGAACAGACAGGAATTCTACAGAATTTACCAAGTGGCTGTATTGGTGGCTAAGCCTAGGACATTTGAATCACTCGCAATCCCCATCATTAGTGAACCGTGTAATTGACCTCCCGTGCAGTGTGATTCTAAATGCCAACAGACGGTGGACAGAGTTCTCTCTCGGTTATCGGTATATACGGCATGTGTACAGTTTGTCATCATCCAATGTCACGAAAGATGCGTTTGAAATGTGCTGAGAATTAAATTTTGGCCGTCTGCCTGCAAGTCTGCCAGCCTGTGTGTCTGCTTGCCAGTCTGCCTGCTCTGCATGCATGTCTATCTC